CCAAAGAAAAAGCCAACCATGGAAGAGATGTTCATGCAATTCATGACAAAGAATGATGTTTACATAACAAATAATGACATCATTTAAAGTCAAGCAGCTATTGTTCAAAGTCAAAGACATTAGTTGGAAATCTTGAGACACAATTGGGCCAGTTAGCTAATGCCATTAATAATGGACCTCAGGGTCCTTTACTTAGTGACACTGAACTCAATCCAAGAAAAGAAGATAAAGAGCATTGCAATGCAATCACACTCAAATGTAGGAAAGAGGTAAGTGGTAGTCAAGTAAAATATGAAGATTTCAATAAACCTACTAAAAAAGAAGTTGAAATTATTGTTGAAAAAGAAATTGTGGTTGAAGATTTAAGTGAGAAAGCTAAAATTGAAAAATCACAATTAAAACCTTTATAAACACCTTCATCACCTTTTCCTCAATGTTTTCAAAAGTAGAAACTTGACAAGCAATTCTAGAGATTTATTGAGGTATTTAGTAAGTTTCATATTAATATCCTTATTGTTGAAGATTTGGAAAACATGCCAAGCTATGTGAAGTTTTTGAAAGACATCTTGACCAAAAAAAGAAAATTAGAAAAGTTTGAAATAGTTACACTTATTGAGGAGTGCAGTGCTATAATCCAAAATAAGCTTCCACCAATGGTTAAAGATCTAGGGAGTTTTTATTCCTTACACTATTGGTAGTTATAAAATTTCTAAAGCTTTATGTGATTTGGGTGCTAGTGTTTCAATAATGCCTTTTTTTATTGATAGGAAATTTGGATTTGAAGAGATACAACCTATTACAGTTACTTAGCAATTAGTAGACAGATCAATTAGGTATCTTGTGGGGATTATAGAGGATGTTTTGGTTAAAGTTGGGTATTTGTACATTTCGGTGGACTTCATTGTGCTTTAAATGGAAGATGATGTTGAAATTCCTCTTATTTTGGGATGACCATTCTTGGCTACAACAAAAACAATCATAGATGTGGAGAATGGCAAGATAACTTTCAAAGTTGAAAAGAGGAGGAAGTTGAGTTTAATTTGTACAAAGCAATTGCGTATCCCTTCACAGATAGTTGCTATAAAGTGGATTTCAATTGATGAGTTGGCTAAAGAGAAATTTGACAGGATTATCCTCCAATAACAAGTACAACAAAATTTGAGGTTGGACAATAAGTTTTGTTACTTTCCAATCCATGCTTCAAGCTTTTTTCATGGAAATGCAAAACAAAATGGTTGGGTCCTTTCAAAGTGGTAAAAGTCTATCCTTGGGGTATCTTAGAAATTGCTAATGAGGCTGCTAGAACATTCATGGTTAATGAAATAAGCCTCATACCTCATTATGGTGGTGAACAAGTGCATAAAGGGTACCATAGTCAAGCTAGTGACTATAAAAAAATGCTTTTTTGGAAGCAATCCAAGTTCTTGAAACTCATATTTTCTCTTTTTAGTTATTTTATTTTATTTATTATTTTTATAAATATCTCTATTTATTTTATTTTTATAAAAAAAAAAACCTCCCATAAACATTGGTGATAATAATGAAGATAAGGAAAGGGAATAGAGCCTTTCCAGAGTCCTCCAATTGTCAATGGAGTTTTACTTATCCTTTTCTTTATCTATTTTCAACATTGAGGACAATGTTGAATTTAAGTCTTTTTAGGGTGGGAGGGGATTATTTTTTTGGAAGTTGATTGTTCTATGGAAATTGAGATTTTATTTATTTATTTGTAGGAATGTTTTAGGTTAGTTTATCAGTTACTTTTTCATTATGCTTATTTGAAGTTTTTATGATAGGTTACAGTAGTGCCTAAATTTTTTGATGATTTCCTTATCCAATGATGAAAACCTATTGTCATTTATTTGTAGCATATGGTAAATATAGATATTGTTTGAATTTGTGATAAATTCTTTTGTTTAGTATCATTGTTGGGATATGATTTTCATAAATTGAGCACTTTGTCTTTTACTTATTATTGTGCTTATCTAGAGAAGATTTATGTTGATGTAAATTTTGAATTATGTATAGAATCCATAATTTGCTTGATTGTCTCTCAAGGCGAAATCTTAGGAGATACTAAGTTAGGGAGATTATTTACTTCTTTGGACTGTTTGAACCTTTTAAGCTTACTTTTGATATGTTGTCCTTAGTATACCCCTTTGAGTCTAAAGATACCTTTTCTTTGTTAAACACTTAATTATTTAAACTTAGCCTTTTAAACAAATTTCCAGTTTTTCATTCCTCACTATTAAGTATGTATATCATTTTAGGAAGTATATTGAGCTAGTTGTTGAAAAAGGTAGAAAAAGTGAAGTTGTTAAAAAATTGAAAAAAAATTTAGAGATAAAAGTCACCTTACTACCTACAATATAAAGAAATAAGTTTGGTGGTGCGAAATTATGATGAAAAAAATGAGAAGAAGAAGAAGAAGAAGAATAAAGTGTTGAACAAGAATAAATGTTCAAAGTGAAGAAAAGGTGTATCTGGAGAATGTGAATCAGAGCTCAACATAGGTCCTAGAATGATTATGTGCTTAAGGTGATCAGAGCCTTATTATTATCCTTTATCCTACCTTGACCCTAGCCATATATTACATGTTTAATAAAGTCCTAATAATCCTTGACTTATACTTTTAATTGGTTCGTTCCCTTATTTTCCTTCTTCTCTTATTCCTCTTCTTTTCTCGATTTTATGCCATTACTATTGCTTGCAACTACCTCTTCAATTTCACCTTTTTCTTCCTTGACCAATATCCACCAAAATGACCTCTATCATACAAACCAAAAAAAGAAAAAAGCCTCTTTTTCCCAATGGATTTGTACAGTTGTTGTTTTCCTTTTCTTCTTTGGTGCTTTTTTTCATATGTTTGTACTTGGTTCAATCTTGGACAAATCTCACTTGTTTTTTGGGAAGATAAAGATTTGGTATCTAGAGAATTGAGGTAATTGAAAGAGTTGAGTGGGTTAGGTTTTGGTAAAGCTATCAAGATGAACCTTGTAAGCTTTTAGAGATATTTTGAGAGAAAATAAAAGGTAAATTTATGCAATTAGTCCATGTTCTCTATCAAAATGATGGATTTAGTCCTTATACTTTTCAAAATTGACAATACCAATCTAATGTGTTAAAAAAATTTTATTATTTATACTAATATGGCAACTGGTTGTGTTGACATAACATTTTCTTGTTGAGGTGACATTAAATTTGATAAAATGACAATGATGATGCGACATTTTACGAATGATGTAATAATGGTACCAATATGACGTGACATTAACATAGATTTTATAAATGTGGATATAAAATTATATAGTGTGAGTTAATGGTTTTAAATTGGCTTAGAAAAGAAACAAATCAAAATTACGAATAGGTTTTTAGGATTTAGGGAAAGATTGTTGTGAGACAAAAAAGAATTGAAATTCTGTGCTCCAAAATTTAAAATAGTGAAAAAAGTGTTATGAAATAGATTAAAAAAAAAGCCTCATCATCATTAACAAATAATCATTTTCAATGCCATATCAACAACAAAATACCATGTCAGCATAAATAATAGAAAAATTTTAATATTGTTAACAATTGTATTGGCATTGTCAATTTTCGAAAGTATAGGGATTTAATTTTTACAAATTATTATATAGGGACTAAATTTGTCACTTTGCGAAAGGACATAGAATGATTGCATAATTTAACCAAAATAAAACAATTTAATTTGGAATCTTCATACGGTTTCAAATGGAGTTAGTGACATTTCAAATAAAGAAAGCCGTAGCTTGTTTAGTCTAGGTTTTTTTTTTTCTTTGTTTAGCTTAAAAGCAATTATGAAGCTATTATGAAGCTCTCATAAAAAATAATAACTTTTAAAATTAAGTTAAAGTTATTTGAAAAAATAAATTATATAAGCTTTAATTTTAGTTAAAATTACCATAAAAGAGTATTCATGCCATCTTTAATCATCTAATAAATCAAAGCAGAAAACATCTGCTTTGAGTTTATATACAATTTCAAATGTTAAAATAAAAAAAATCTATAAAAAATAGAATAATTCTCAAACTTGTATCATAATTATAATAGTATTAGAGTTTTTGGTAAAGAAGAAAAAAAACTTTTAAATAGTATTTGAATGTAGTTTTGACTTTTGAGTTTTCTTTTCTCTTAATCTTTGAAGAACAAAAAATTCTTAGATTTTGCTATTTTGCTGTTGTGTCTTCTATTTTTTTAATAGTCTTTATAGAGAAAAGTAAAGCAAACGGAGATAACAATTTTGCGTTGGAGAATGGTGATTTGAAAAAAAAAAAGAGAAAAGAAAGATTAATTGAGAGAGAAGAGTTTTTTTTGAAAAGCTGACATATTTTTAAGAGAAGATAAGAGAAAGCTCTTCTCTAAAGCTTTTCTTTAAGCTTTTTTTTTTTAAAAAAATTATTTTTCTTAAAAAAAGTTATTTTTTAAAAACTTTTTAAAAATATTTTTTGACCTGGCTTCTACTTTTAAGAGATAGGTAAATTGAAAAAAAGTCAAACCCAACAAATACTTAGCTTGCATTAATTAGTGAATTTCTTTTAATTATTTTTGTTTATTCAAAAAATAAGTTTTAAGGAGTCAATTTTTGTTATTAGATTTTTTTGCATGTTATTTATAATTTGTTTTATTGTTCAAAATTTTGGAGGAGTCAACATCATGTGAGCACTGGTCAATGTCATGTTAGTCTCAAAATTTAGGTGTAGGTTTAATTAACACCTGATGAATTCTGGTCAAATATTATGTGAACTTAGTTAATAAAATTAGTAAATAAAAGAACTCAATTTAAATGAATCATAGTAAAAAGAAATCAATTTAACATTTTTATAAAATATAGAGACTAAATTCAGAATTTGACCATAAAAAAACAGTGAAAAAATGAACCAAAAATGAAGTTAAGGGACGGCTATTCGGACCTGTTCTTCTAAACACCACCAACCAAGTCATAATTGCAATCTTTCATTTTCCACCAACAAAAAACAAAAGCCACGAGTTACATCCTCTCAACTGTTCCTCACGGGCAGCATCAAAGTTGCCCATCTTTTGCCCTTCTCCCCTTCCAGCTTTGAAATCCAGATTAAGCCTTATAAACGTTTTCACTTTGAGGTCATTGGGTCAAGAGAGAGAAAAAAATCAACTAGTTATATATACAGATACTGCCCCACTAGTCACTTGCCTTAGTCTTGTGATTGGGAATGACTCAACAAAGGCACAAAGCAGGCGCTTTTACAGCCGAACCACAACTAGAACGGCAGAACCCCCACAACCAAACAGAGTTTCCCTGTTTTATTGCTTTGCTTCTCCCCTCGTTTAGACCGCAAACGGAATCCATTCCACATGTCTAAGCTTTGAAAACCATAGTTATCATCTTCTTTACAAGCTCCAACTGTCAGCTACATTTAAAAGAAGCAATGAAGAACGTTTCAAGGAACAAGTTTTTGCTCTGTTTTAGACCCGTTGTTGATATGGACGTGATGCTTGAGTCCAAAGCAGTTGTGGTTGATCGTTCCCAAAATCAGGCCTCAACGTATGTTGGCGTTAAAAACAGGGAGGATTTTAAGCCTTCAATGACTAAGTCTTCTGTTTCTGATACAGAAAATTCGATCGTGATTCATCGTCCTGGAAAGAAAACATTTTCCCAAGTGATCAAAGCTGTTGTGTTCGAGATCATATTGGTTTGTTCCTCACGTCCTTTGTTCTTCCTTTTATTTTCTGATGAAGTGATTAGCTGTCATCACTTATCAATATATCTTATCCTGTTAACAGGTTAAGAGGGTTCTAGATAGGAAAGTTATTCATCAAGGGTCATATTCATCAAAGCACAATTTCCCATTAAGCTGCCGTGATAAGTTGTTGGATGAAAGTCTCGGTAAATCAGTAAACAAGGCTTTGGCCTGCAAAGAAATTCAAGATACTATTTCCAAGTCCAACTCAGTGTCATCAGTATCATCTTGTTCTTCATCGTCTTCCCCAAATTCAACGCAAAACCAAAAGAGGCAAAAGCTGCAAAACAAGAATACTTACAGCAACCATCGAGAACGTGAAATGAACCCTAAAGATGAACAAATAGATAGGGGTTCAAGTTCAAACAGTGCCATTCCTTTGCTTCTCGTTAGTCTAGCAGTGACAATCTTCTGGGGCAAAATTTGTGCGATATTCTTCACGTCAATTTGGCTTTACTTTCTCCCTCATCAACAACCTGCCGGTGTTAATGGAAATCAGGAAAACATGAAAAGAATCCCGGAAGCGAAGTCAAGAGATTACAAAAAAAAAGGTCATAATGGAAGGGCTACTTGAAAGGAATCACAACAGAGGGACATTAAATTTTTGACATGAAAATTTTATTTTTCGTGTCTGATCCCATAGCCTTTCTGTGAATTTATTGCTTTATTTCTGGGCTGCAACTTTTAGTAGTGCATTAACGTTCAGTCAGACAAAACGCACGCATCAGTTTCTTGTGCGGTAATCTCTTTTTCTTATACTTGGGGGAGACTTCAGAACCTTCGTTTGTTCCTTGAATTCTTTCATGTCCCACTTCCCCTTTTCTTATTCCTTTTGTTTTTTTTTCTCTTTTGACAAAAGATATTGTTACTTTGTTAGATAATTCCAAAGAAAACGAAAGCAATACAAACTAAATCACAAAAAATATGTTCATTAGATGAAAATTCAATCCCGGGATTAATTTAGATTGCTGGCTTGTTGCTTGTTGACTCATTTCCATTAATTTAAGTTTGTTTAAATTAATATTTTACTGTCTTCTTTTTATTTTTTATTTTTTACTTTTTGGGGAGGAAGCAGATAGAAAAAATAGACGGAGCTTAGATAAGATATGACTCAAAAAATATATATGTGACATGAATCCTGCTATATCATGAGAATTCCAATTTCTAATGGACAACGTGAGAAAAGAGTTAAGAGAACTTAAGAAGCATTTTGTAATGCGCAAGTCGACTACTTTCCCTGCAATTTAAATAAGTGTACTGTCTGTGCAGTATTTGGTTTATAAGAAGGTAAAGGAATGTCATTACAGTTCCCTAAGCTCACGAAGGGAAAGTTAACCATTTTCTTTCCCCCAATTGTCCCCCGATCCCCTTCTTCTTGCCCTAAGCCACTCACTTGTTTCAGATCTGTTGTTGTTTGTGCTTCAAGAGGAAAGTGGCTAGGTTATATGTGGTTGATATTCCTAGATCTGCTAATCATCTTGCATATCATCTTACTAAAGGTAGTGTACAAAGGGCTGTCGATCACCTAATTGTTCATCACTGATGCATTTTGATTTTGCTTTGGTTTTTAACATTGGGCTCTTGAATTTTGTTTTTATGTCTTTGTTTTATTTTGTCTTGGTTTGTTGCCGATGGAATTTTGATTGGGGGATTGCTGTTGTTTTGTTTGTGTTAGGTATTTTGCATTTTCTATTCTCTATTTCCTTGAAGACGATGTACTACTGATGTATCATGGGTTTGGACTTTACACTTTTCTAACAATGTTGTTAAAGATTTTTTTCTATTGGTTGAAGGAAATCTTGCACATAATCTAGATAAGTCATTGTCCTGAATAAGTGACATAGTCTAGATAAGTTAGATAGCTTCATATTTAACTTTGGCTTCTTTATATTTGAAAATGTTTATCAACAGAACTTGTATATATCAACAGAATGCTTATCAGTAGAACTTGTACATAAGCCTTTTATAGATTTGAGGTGAATAAAAGTGAACAATCAAATATTTCATTATGAAATTTTAACCTTTTTCACATGGTATTAAAGCCTTCTTCTATCTTAAAGATGGAAAATTTTTCTGTCTCAAAATTAGTAAACTCACGTTCTATAGACCCATTGTCACCTTACTTTCTTCATCACTCCGATCATCATGGATCGATAGTGATAAATCCAAAACTAACTTCAACCAATTATGTTTCTTGGAGTCAGTCCTTTCAATTGGCTCTATCCATCAGGAATAAATATGGTTTTATTGATGGTACCATACCAAAACCAAATAAGGATGATGATTCATATGTGTCACGGACAAGATGCAACAATTTGATTGTTGCCTGGTTGCTAGAATCTATTTCCCCTCCCATTGCTTCAACAATCTTTACATGAAGTTTGCATTAGAAATTTGGGACACATTGAAAAAAGGATTCTCCTAGTTAGATGATGCATGGGTATGTAATTTACAATTCTCACTCTCAAACATATCACAAGGCACACAATTTATCAATGAATATTTTACAGAATTCAATGAGGTTTGGGAGGAACTTAGAAAATTCAGGCCAATGCCTCATTGTTCTTGTGGTAAATGCAGTCAACAGTGTTTCAGAAATATGTTCAATAGTGTCAAAAAGACAATATCTTCAAATTTTTGAATGGACTTACTGAGAGTTATGCAGGATTAAGATCTCAAATTATGATGATCAAGCTTGTTCCTTCACTTGATGAGGCTTAAAATTTGATCTTAAGAGAGGAATCTCAAAGGAACATCTATATACAGTCACAACCCCTTATTCAGACATCTTCTATGACAAGTACTTATGTTGATGGGAAAAAGAAAAATAGCAGTGATTTGTCAAGTAGTCGTTGTGGTAAAAATGGCCACACAAAAGATAAGTGTTATAAATCGATAGGATTTCCCCTTGATTTTAAGTTTACAAAAGGTAAAAATAACCCTAGGAGATCTGTCAATAGTGTTGTTCAACATTCACAAACAAAGCAGGGTGAACATGATTCTGTTAGTACTATGTCTCAATTATCATTAATCAAAGATCAAGTTTGGACACTCATGGCAACTCTCAATGAGAATGGTGAAACTAATGTTGATAATGATAATTCTGAGCAGTCAACAACCAAAAGCTTCATTAGTCAACTCCACAATTGCAGGTATGATTTCTAGCTCTGTCAGTTATACAGATTAAAATGCAAGGATAAACAACTCATCAAAAATCATTACTTTTATTATAAAATCAAATTGTTGGATCATTGACACTGGTGCATCAGATCATATAACTTGTTCATGATGCATTTGCGCAAATGCCAGACAATTCTATAGCCTTCGTGAGTTATATAGGAGCAGTTAAAATAACATTTTCCTTGACACTAAAGAATGTTCTTTATGTTCCATCATTTAGATTCAATTTGATATCTGTTAGTAAATTGACAAAGAATAAACAACATTGTTTGATCTTTACTGATTTTCACTGCATAATTTAGAAAATCAAATCATGGACTATGATTGGACTTGCTAAGATGGAAGCTAGACTTTATTTTTAACAAGAAAGCCTCAGTCAAATGATTATGTTTAGACTGGTCTTGCACAAGCCATGAAAAATGTTGGTAGATTTGCCTCTGTGTAGTTTTCACCAATTTCTTTAGATTATTCTTGAAATTTTTTTGGCAGTTATAATTTTGTAGTTGAATAGTTTGATATTTGGCATTTGAGATTGGGACATGGTTCCTCAACTATAACAAGACAAATTTAAAAGGTTTATCCTTCTATTTCAGTTGTTGAAAATAATTTTTGTTCAATCTGTCCATTAGCAAAGTAGAAAAGACTAAAGTTTCCCATCATTTTAAAACCACTGTCATGCCATTTGAACTATTATATATGGATATATGGCGACCATATGCAGTATCTGCTATTAAAAATCAATACTTATTTTTAACTATAGTGGATGATTATTCAAAATTTACATGGATTTATCTTATGAAAGCCAAGTCGGATGTTTTGACTATTGTTCCTACCTTTTACAACCTGATAAATACACAATTTAATGTTAAAATCAAACAAACCAAATCAAATCATGCAACTGAGTTCAATTTGATAGATTTTTTTCATTTCTCATGGCATACTACATCAAATATCCTGTGTTAAAACTCCTTAACAAAATGGGGTGATAGAAAGAAAGCATCAGCATTTACTCACTGTTGCTAGATCTCTCATGTTTCAAGCTTCTTTGCCTTTAAAATTTTGGGGAGATTCTATTTTAGTAGCAACACATACTATAAACAGAATACTTTTTTTAGTTTTGCAAAACAAATCTGCTTATGAAATGTTATTTAACAAAGAACTAGATTATTCTCATTTCAGGGTGTTTGGATTTTTATGTTTTACCTCAACACTTGCTCATCAAAGAAAGAAATTTGATCATAGGGCAAGAAAATGCATCATTATAGGTTACCTTGTGGGAATCAAAGGTTACAAGGTTGTATGATCTACAAACTCATAACATTTTTGTTTCTAGGAATGTCAGTTTCTTTAAACACATTTTTCCTTTCAAAAATGTTGATTTTGCACCTAATAGTCATCAATATATCCAATTCTTTTCCAAAATAAAACCTGGTTGTGATATTCCATTTCCCATTTCTCATTTAGAGATATCCTATAATATAGATTATGACACTTCTCTGCATTCTCATTTTCATGCATCTTTATTTGATCAACATGTTCATCATACTTCCCCTATGGATTTTGATCATATAACTCGATAGATAGACTCTAGTGACAATGGTGCAACTGTTGATAATCACCAAATTACTGTTTTTGATCATTCTGAAAATGTGGACCAAAATGCCCCCGTTCAACTAGTAATCATTCCTTTTAATGATCCTACTTCTTCTTTGAATTCCAATAACCTTTCATCACCAAGGAGAAGCACAAGACCAAAACAACTACCTAAATAATTAGAAGCTTACCAATATACTGTTCCCTCACACACAAACATAGTGACGGTACATCCTGTTACCAAATTCCTTTCCACTAATCATCTTTCTCAACCACATAGAGCCTTCACCACATCTTTCACTCATATTCTTGAACCTAAAACCTTTCATCAAGCTAATCAACATTCTCAAAGGCAGATTGCTATGAAGGAAAAGCTTAATGCCTTAAAAGATAATGAGACACGGTCTATAGTATCTTTACCTACTGGTGCTCACATTGTTGTTTGTAAATGGTTTATAAGGTAAAATTACATGCTAATGGTACTGTGGAAAGATACAAAGCAGGATTAGTTGTTAAAGAGTACAGTCAGAAGGAGGGATTCGACTTTAATGAGAATTTCAATCTTGTTGCAAAGCAGACTACAGTGAGAACACTTTTGGCCATAGTTGTAATTTGACAATGGCATTTATCTCAATTAGACATTAATAATGCTTTTCTCAATGGAGATTTATGTGAGACTGTATACATGGACTTTCCACAAAGGTATAAACCTAAAAGGGAATATCCTAAAACCTCTAAACTGGTTTGCAAATTAAATAAATCCTTAAATGGACTGAAACAGGCTTCCAAGTAGTGGAATTGCAAATTTACTAAGGTTATGCTTCAATATGGTTTTCAACAATTAAGGTCATACTATGCTTTGTTTACCAAAGCGACATATAATGGTTAGTTCTTAGCTCTCTTGGTGTATGTTGATGATATTTTGATGGCTAGTTCTTCAGTGAATTTAGCTGATGATCTGAAATTTTTCCTGCAAAGTAAGTTTAAGCTAAAAAACTTACAAAGTCTTAAGTACTTCCTTGGCTTAGAAGTTGCTAGATCAAATGCTAGAATGACTATGTGCTAGAGAATTATAAGTTAGTTAAAGATGATGGTAATTTAGTCTTGACAGATTGTAATGTGCTTGAAGAAAATGGTGCCTGTGGGTTGATTTAGGAGCAACAAAACATGTGTGCAAGGATAAAAGTCTTTTCAAGAATTTTACACCAAGTGAGTGTAGAAATTTCTTATACATGGGAAATTTTTCTATTGTAGCAATTAAAGGCAAAGGGACTATTAACTTGAGTTCACTTCTAGAAAAACTTTAACTTTGAAACATGCATGCTATGTTTCAGAAGTTAGGAAAAATTTAGTATCTGGAAGTCTATGGAATAAGTTTGGTTTAAACTTGTATTTGAGGCAAATAATATCATTCTATCCTAAGGGAGAATATTTGTTGGGAAAGGGTATATGTGTGAGGAAATATTCAAACTAAATGTTATTAATAATACTAAAAATAAGATTACTAGTTCTGCTTATATGGTTGAATCTTCTTATTTATAGCATAATAGATTAGGCCATTTAAATTATAGAAAATTGGATGATATGTATAAAATAGACTTAATTCTAGAATTTAATCAAAATATTGATAAACGCAATACATGCATGCTGACAAAAATAACTAGAAATCTTTTTTCTAAAGTTAAAAGAAATACTAAAATACTTGAACTAATACATAGTAATGTTTGTGATATGCATAGCACACCTACATTAACCAAAAAGAAATATTTTGTCACATTTATTGATGATTTCTCTAAATATTGCTATGTTTATTTATTACATTCTAAAGATGAAGTGCTTGATAAATTTAAGGTTTATAGATCAGAAGTTGAATTACATTATGAATCTTTTATCAAGTGCTTAAGATTGAACAGTGGTGGAAAATATTATAGTCTAAGTTATTTTGCCTCCATCAAGAAGATAACCATCATATTTTAGCACCTAGCACACCACAACATAATGGTGTGGCAGAAAGAAAAAATACGGTCTCGATCGAAATGGTAAATGCTATGTTATCATATTCAGGTCTTGGAAAAAGTTTTTAGAGAAAAGATTTATTAACAGTTTGTCACATATTAAATAAACTTCTTCAAAAAGAAACTAAAATGACCTCATATGAGCAATTGAAGAAAAAGAGACCAAGTCTTAGTTATTTAAAAGTTTGGGGATGTAGAGCCATAGTTAAAGT